TGCTCGCGGTCGCGATGCTGGTTCTCGGCAGCTTCGATTTTTCGAGTCGTGACCCCGAAGGTCACGACAGCCACGTAGGCTTTCGGCGGTGTGTTCGCTCGATATTTCGCGCACGACGGATAATCGACAGTTTGTCGGTCGGGTTTTACACGATACGCGGAGCTCCTCCTTTCGCGAGAGAAACGCGAACCCTGGCCCTCGCCCAGGGTGGACGGCCGAGCCTCCGTTCCCCGACGCCGCACCGCTCCGCGACACTAAATCACTAAAACGTTCTCCGTGGAACGGACTCACCAAAAGGCGGAGCGGGGCAGTCGGCAACGAGCAGCGGCGGTCCCCTCTGGGTTCACAAAAATTCAACGCGTGCGGTAGCGGCCTTACAGATGCGGAGGTCAGGTCGTCTTTAGTCGTCAGCTCTGTGGATGGCGCGTCCTTCACACACTCGGCACGGCTCACAGGAAAAAGCTCCCGAGCTATCGTTGAGACCTCGTTTTATTTCAGGTTTGAATCGTTGGTTTCGACAGCTATCGGCCGTTGATTGGCCGATTTGCAGGATGGAATCCCCCGTTATTCGGCCGTTGTTTTGCCTTCTTTGTTATTTACAAGATCTAGCCGTTATTTACAAGCTAGATCTTTCAGGCCGGTCGGTCTCTCCGACCTTGGAGCTTTGTTCTATCGGCAACCGTTGTTTCTTCAGTCCTCGAGCCTCGCGGCGTCTTCGCCTGGCTCGGAGGACGCTCCGGGTCGCGGAGGACGTGCTTGTCGGGCTCGCCCTGGCAGCAGCTGTCCTCCGCTCGTCCGCGGTGTCCGTCGACTCCGTCCCAGCGGCTCCCTTGCGGCAGCTCAGGACTGATCCACCTCGGCAGCTCTCTCTCTCTCTACGCTCTCCTCATTAGCTGGTGTATTTGGCTAAAACAGGCCTCCTTAGAGCGGATTCCCCTGTCGGTCCTTAATTGCTAATACAATAATATGGAAGCGATTCACCTGAGATTTTTGGTCCGTCCGATGCTCCTGGTCCTGACTTCTCTTCTCTCTCGGCGGCAGCGAATCCTCCCTGATGTCCTCTTCCTCCTGACCCGATCTCTCGACACCCGCACTCTTATTTATTACACAAAAATATTCGGGCCACGCAGGCTCGCGTCCTATTCGCCTTACCGTTAGGACGCGACATCCACCTGCAGCCGGGAAGCCCGCTTTTGGCTTCCTCACGACTTTCCGAGTGACGGACGATAACAAAAAATCGTTACGTCACAATCCTTTCTACTTGTCTGTTAGCGCGTGGAAGTCCGGTCCTTATCAGCAGGTACTCTATGCATGTTAGATTTGTGTTTGAGCCGCGTGAATTCATTTTCGTTTGATTCCGACATTTCGCGAACATTTCAGTCCGCTTCATCAGGGAGGAATGACCCGATGCCGAGTTGTTCCCGAAAGGTCTTCCTTTATACAGGGTGTCCCGCGTAAGACGTGCCAAAAGAAAAATATAAGTAGAACAGATAAAAGTGAACAAAAATTGTAGAGGTAATTTTTCAAACAACCACGGCTCGCCGCGGCCGGTGAAAAAAATGAACGAGCGCACACGTACACGGACGTACACACAGAGCTACCCATTTCCATATGCCAAACGGTCCACCTCTCTGACCTATAAGATAGACCCGCGAGCAATCGTCCATTTATTTCGCCGGCCGCGGCGATCCATATGTCCCGCCTGCCAAATTATTTCCAATAATTTTTTGGAAATCAAAATTATTGTAATTTTAATAGATTTATAATTATACTTCCATACTTTTAGATATTTCATTTTCTACTTACTGTTATGGAAGATTCTCTTTTCCTTTGAGCTATATGAGGATCAAGAAATTTCATATCTTCAAATAACCACCATGTAGGTTTATAAAAGTTGTCAATTGATGTACCACTTGTCTTAGATGCTTTTATTTTACTAATACAATCGAGATACTGCGATCTTAAATTATTTATTTTTTTCTTTGCAGATTCTACAAATAGAGGTTCTTTTGTTATGTGACAATCCACAAACAAAAGACGACGGATCATCACGAACAATAAATTATTAGTGCCGAGTATCCGCAAAAACAATAAACAGCTTCGTTGTTTCCGAAATTCGCGTATAAAAGCGGACGCGAAAACGACATCGAGAGAGATCCGCCGGAGAGCTCCACCGAGACGCTCAATCGACCAGAACTCGTAGCAAATCTCTTCGCATCATCGCTTCCTAGACATCCCGTCGACCGAGTTGGACGCGACCTCGACATCCACTACCTATACCGTTCCGTCGACCGAGTTGGATACACGACGTCGACATCCACTATCTGTACCGTTCCGTCGACC